AGCAATAATACTGCTCTTAAGTTGGTTAACGTATGTGTGTACATCTTAAAAGAATAACAAACTAAATACAACATAAATGTAGGCCTACTGGAATAATAAGAAAACGGACACTGTATTTAATTCTAATGATACAAGACAAACTATTTTCCCCATTATGGACCGATTTCATCATTCTTGCTTTTTTAAATAATTAAATGAAAATTAAACTAATCGAATTCATGTATTTCTTAATTGGCATTTGATGGCAGGGAGTGCTAGAGCAAACGCAAAAATAAAAACATTTATGACAAAAACAATAACTTGTCATGGCAAAAGTGCGAGTTGAAGTTGGTGTACAATTTTAAATGCCAACAGGTTGTAATTTGTATACACATTTCGTATAAGAAATATTTACCTTAGATCTACTACTTTAAAATGGTATAAACTGCAGTCTAGTCCGTTTGGATTTAAATATTTTAGGTGGTAAAGTGGTAGCCCAAAATAATTTTATCTTTAATGCCTTAGTAATTTCCCTTACTTGTAAGGATGTCTTAAATGTGCCACGTGCCCCTAGGATGTAAGTGACCTTTCCAAGCCTAGGTTAGTACATGCAAAGCCACTCTGCCACTGTCATTAGTCTGTTGATTATTGATGATGTTGCACCAAATGCAAGGGACGAGTCCGCGTAAATCATATTTTTCCTTGGTCTATATTACTAACGAAACTTCAAGAAGTATTATAATAATTTGAAAGCCCAAAACTTAGTAATGTCAGAGTTGGAATAATAACGGTCAAGCATTTCTAATCACTATTTTTTGTTCCAAAAACACATTCAAAAAGAAATTCCTGTTAATCTGGTCCTGCCCAAAAATATCTTCTTAAGTAATTGGAAATGTACTGTACAAAAGAATTCAAGGTTCAAACTTCAAAAATGATAACTCGAGAGGGATTTTTGTTTTATAATAACCTAGATACAGTGGTTTTATAAAGGTTGCTTTGAAATTAACTTTTTAAGTTTTTGTGGAAATCACTTGGTGAATATTGTAAAGTAGGAGTGTAGCTTTTCTTTTAGCAACTCCAAATCCTTGTCGCTGAACATTTTCTAGCTAATTTATTCGTTATTAAATACATGATAACTAACTTAGATATCGATACATCCTTACCTTGATAAAAAATATTTTGATAAAATAATAGTTTAATTTTAGTACATACTATTTTACAAGAAGTGTATTCATGAACTAAGAATTTCTTTTAGTTTCCGCCGTTTCCCCATGTGATGCTCTCAGAGATATGAAAGAAACTACAGTACTGTAATTCAAACTTAGAACTGGCGTAGTCAAATGTTCAGCAACACTCATTTCAAAGTTCAAAATTACTTTCGGCTACAAAGTTCCTGTTAGCATTTATCTTACAGCCAGAGTTGTTATCTTACAAATCTATGGTATTTAATTTCATGTTTCTCTTTTTAATTCCTCTTGGCAAACGTTTACCCAAAACAATTTCAATAAATTTAACCAATTCAAAATTAAACGTTGTTAAATTTTGACCGTTTTACATTAAAGCACTATTAAAACAATACTGCTTTCAAATTAGTTCATATTAAAAACTTGCTAAGCAATCGTTGAAATATAGTGGTACTAGTGTAGCAGTAAGAGCTAATCTTGATGATAATATTTTGAAAATTATGACCACAAAAAACTTTTCAGAGGAAATTCGTTAGTTGAAACGCTGTTCTTGGCTTCCGTAATTAATATTACTCCCGACAGTAAGGGTTAAGAGGACTATTACATAAGTGGCAATCTTATACCTCCCCCACAGACATCCCTTAAATGAATCTCTAGTTATACCAAACTGTTAGTGACAGGCCGAGCCTGGTATTGACACCAAAGTAAAGTTAAAGTTGTATGCAGATAGTGTACAATTATACAACCTAACTAAACATGTCGATATTCTGCTTTACTTTACTCTACTAAAAATTATCAAACGATATTTAAATTTGTACTTAGTTTCTTTGCAAGTTATTGATTTTTTTAAATCCTAATAGTAAATATTTATTCATACTAACGTTTCTAATGATTACTAAAAGATTTTAACAAAATTTAAGTCTTATTTTAGTATTTTATTATTATAGCTTTATACTGTATCTACCTATTTTGTGCTCCTAGGTGTAAAAGGGTTAAACAAGCGTTACATTTTGCATTATTATAAAATATCGGCAACAGATAATCAAAACAATAAAATTCACCAACTTCAACCTGGAGACGAGTTAGCGTAGCGAACGAGCTAACCTGAAGGCAAGTGAGCGCAGCGAACGAGCTCCAACCTAAAGGTGAGTGAGTGTAGCGAACGAACTTCAGCCAGGACGTGATTGAGCCATGCGAACGAGATCATCTTGAATATTAAGAAGTTAAACGGGGCAAAGCCCGCGGGTACAGCTAGTACACTATATAAAGAAATGGTAATGCATTAAGACATCTGCATATAAATAATCAATAAGTAGAATTGAGCATATTTTTCCTGGTAAGTGTGTGATAACTGTTTCTCATAGTAGATTTAAAGAACCGAATTTTTCCTTTCTACATTCTCACCCCGTAGCGGAACACGGGCAGAGCAACTAGTTTCATTGCATCATGTTAACTACAAATTGGAAACAATAATTGCATTGGAACTCGTTGAACTTAACTTTAGTTTCTATTGATATTTAAAGACGATGTGTCAGTTCACCTTCCAATTTTACTCTAAAAGGATATTAAAACGGAATAAGAATGCAGTTTATTTTTGATACAATTTTATACTGTTATTATTGATGGGAACTTTATTTCTTTGTTAATTCTTCAACCTGTTATTCTTTGTAATTTATTGTTTTTTCATTGTTAATTTATAAACACTGTTATTCTTTATATTGTTACTCGATTCAAATTTTATTATTGCTATTCATTGTTAAAGCACTATTGGATTAGTTTTGTTGTAACTATCATGTTTTTCACTTGTTTTGCTACTTGCCATATTGTTGTCTGACACTTATTTTTTGTCGTTTTGTTCTTAACTAATTTATTCAATTCACTATCAACTATTGCATTGTACTAGTCTTAAAAAAGTATTTATCATAAGTTTACCAATATCAAAATGGAGCTGTCCGTTGGAATGTAAAATAAAAATAAAATAAAATAAATGCATTTGGTACAGGATGGTAGTAAAAAAATAAATCGTTTATAAACTTAAAAAAAATAAAGACATTTTATTTGTTTCTTGTTTTCTATAAAAGTTGAAATCTTCCCAACAACAGACAATTTCTACGAAATCAAGTTTTTATGAAGGTGACCTACAAAAGAAATTCAGACAATCTTGTTGCAATCACGTTGTATTTTCTTTGTATAGACATTGCAATTTCTTTATTGTATCAAAATATAATAACGTTATTAATAAAATGAGGTAATGTTACAGGGTTGAAACATATTAAATTATGTTTCTTTTGTTGTTGTGGCCAATATTTAAGGCGTCAAACAGGCTTCCCTATCTAAGAGCTTCTGAGTGAATTTATATGGTTGCGAAAACATTGAAACCAAACAAACAAATCAACCTTAGATCCTTTAAGCCGCTTTGTCTTATCGGCAAACGTTTGCTATTAATTCTGTGTATTCTTTATTGCATACGGGTGACCAATTATTATGACTGCCCGGGAGGCGCGGGTTTAATTCTTGCCAAACGCTAATAGGTTTTAGCTTTGTGATAATGCTGAGATGCGGCGGTTCTGCTCACACCTTATGCCAATTATTAATCTAACGTCATAAAAAATGCACTAAGTAAGGTGAAATTTCTCTAATGGAGATCTACCTCCATTAAAAGCCATGTGATAATAGATTTTATTTTATTTTGCACATTTTCTTCACGGGAACTGTACATTGTTGTCGGTGTAAAAATTGTAATTATGTGTGGTAAACACATTAACCTATGTTTTATGTTCAAATTTTCCTACCAATTGAAATGAAATGAGCATTACAAACTGATTAGCATACAGATTCTTCTAAATGCTACAGACATTGTTTGTTTCTTAATTGCCTCCGTTGTATTTTAAGAAGGGATTGCATTCAATATACTTGATTGTTAGTCAATCGCAATATTTACGCAGCTCAACTTGTGTTCATTTACACTATGCAATGGTCACACACACACACACACACACACACACACATGCAACAGTTCAACAGTATGCAATCTAGTTGCATGGTTTGCGCATGTACCGTGGTTTTTTTAGTAAATCATATGTTATTTTCTTGTTTGTCCTAGAGAACAGTTTTTGAATCGATATGAGTTCAGGTATTGATGAGTGTATTATTATACTACTTTGAAGGATGATTAACTACAAATTGACTAATTACATGTTGAGCGCTAATGATCTCCAATCGTCAGTCGTTGCGTCAATCTTGTACGATCGTAAGAGTTTGCATTTGTCACTGCCCCAATTTAGAATCTGGTACCACATATACCGGTACAGTATTTCATAGATACATATTGCCAACACATTTAAGTAATAAAACAATTAATTGCAGCATTTCATTGGGTTTTAAGAGTTGTTGTATCACATATTAATAGTAAATCTTATAATACTACATATACATCTATTATATGAGTTTTATTGCGATATTATCCCACAAACATACTTGGTATTGACAATTGCTTCAGTGTTCTTTATACTAATGATTGTAATTCTAGGGAGTATTCTATTGAAATTAACCCGAATAATTTAACCTAACTCTTGAGATATGTATACTAATTAAAATAAATACAATTAGTTATATATTTTCAGTGTTTACCTTTATAGTAATACAATATAAATTTGAAGTTTTGTAAAAATCATTAATATTTTTTATATTTGGACGGTAACGTTTAAGGATTTTACAATAGTTACATATAATTATACATAATTCATATAATTATATAATTCATTATATATAATTCATACATACTAATCTTGTTATTTACTCGTACATAAACCTAGCTCATGAAAACAAAGAACTTACGCTAACGTCGTATTGATCAAGGCTTGCCAAATACGCAGTGTCTATTGTATCACATTATTGCAGCTACTAGTAGAAGATTTACTAGGTTTTCATCAATACTTACAAACTGTAATGCACTATTATCAACTACCAGGTAACCCGGCCGGTTCCTCTTTCCGGTGAAAGGACTTTAAGCAATATTGACCAATCTGTTTACCACCAACAGCTCTGAGAATCTCACAGAATTAGATTTTCAACACACTTTTGAGTTTTTAACCCACTTTTCACACAACATGGTTCACTACTACACCAAGGGTGTTGCCTTATTCACATGTTTGTCAACACTGGGGCCTGCATTGCGAGCAAGGTAAGGAGGGGGTAATTTAGGGGGGAGGCCCCCCTTTACCACCTCCCCCCGAAGGGAGTAGGCACCTATTGATCCACCACCGTCGTTTCTGTCTTTATACCAAGTACTGTAATAGTTAATTTAAAATTAAATAATTGTAAGATTGAATGGATTTTATATTCCTTTGTTAGATTGTTTTTGTGTTGGTTATATTGCACTACATAGTATAAAAAAAACAGCTGTTGTATATTTAAAATCCTTCGAAAGAAATATTTTGCGTTTATTTTTTTTCGTATAACTGGTGTTGGAATTTAGGTGAGTTGTTGGTAGCGTCACGGACTTCGGGCCCAAGGCAGCGATGTCGTGGGTTCGGATCCTGGCCACTGCCGCAAACATTTTATCAGTACAGTTCACCTTCGTACTGCACTGGCTTACCCCTTACTTTGCTGTATAAGTTCCACGCACATCATTAGTCTATGTGGACTGACAAAATGCAAAATAAAAAAAGCCGGCAACCTCTAGAAACAAATTAAAATTTATACAAATTAGAAACCATGTTTGTTCAGTTTTCATTCATTCATTTTGTTTCTTGTGTAATAATTATTTTATTGTTAAATTCATATTTGTAAAATTAGCATGGTTTTATAGCCTATTTTTATGGAGTTGTGACTTTCAATAATACTTTTATGTGTTGTGTTATTAATGATAGGCATATTTTTCTGTTGTATTTACAAAATTGTTTCATATTTTTCAGAGCTGTTACTCAGTTTTATTTATATTTTAAATAGTTTTATGCATAACTTATTTACAACTTTTTTACGTTTCAAAAACTCCGTGATAAGAGCTTAAGATTATAATGTAAGTGCGTCAACTATATGAAGTATTAATCCTTTGTATACGTTATATCAATAATAGCTCTTCATTTCTTTACCACCATTTTAATTACTTTACTTTAATTACTTTACAATATTATATTCATACTGTAATGCACTCTATGATAATTCGTATTATTTCCTTATATTATTACTATTACTGTTCTCATCAAAACATTTTTATCTTTAGACAAATCTAAAAAATGTTATTTATTTATTACTTTTGCCATTAACTATCAAGCGATTGAGTGGGTTAACATAGGTTTATAATAATTTAGTTGTAATTTGTATACCTGAAAGCACATAAAGTACGCCAAATAACACTTAAAATAATATATTTACACTGATACTGTTTACTCACAAGACGGTAAATACATATAAAAGAAAAGGTGATAAGTGGTGATCGATTTCGATTGGACACTCCAACCATCATCAGACCCAATCGGTGAATAAAAATTCAACTTAACACTAATATTCCTAATAACGCTCTGTATGAATCACTAACTCTACGGATAACTACTAATGCCATCGCCATCTGAGTTTTTTTAACTACAATACTGTATATAATAAGTGCATTTTATTAACTAGGGTTTTTATAAATGAAACGTTCAACGATTTTACAAAGAATTTTTACGCAGACAATGTATGGATAAAACATCTGCAGAGCACGAGATTGTGAGAGTTCCCCAACAAAAGAGCAAATGATCTGTTTTGTTTATGACGTCTTTAGTGTGATGTTGGTGATATTCTTCCTCCTTGTTGATATAGTTTTGTTTTATTCTATTTAATACACAATATTGTTTGACACCCTGCAAATTTGTGAAGTTCAAAAGCCTTGTCAGAACCAAAAAGATATTTTGAATACTTAAGATTTAATCTACTATTACAATATCAACTGACATGATGACTTCCAGCAAAATTACTTTTTTCTTGGGTTTTCTATGGTTCAATGATTTATTACGGCGTCACCGCTTGCGTTAGGCTGAATTCTCCCTAGCCATTTTGTCAATCTTTTTTCGCACATTTCCGATCTTCAAGCTGTGTGGCCAAGTGGATATTGGGCTCACCAGGTACTTAAGTTTCCGATTGAATCCTAGGCATAGTCACTAGTCAAGATCCCACCTCCTGACTCAGCTTCCCTTGACAAATAGTTTTTTTTAATGGTACTGGTATAAAAGAAGAAAAACTGCTGGTCTTGGTGGCTACACAGGTAATTTCACTAATTTTCAACTCGTATTCAGGTTTAAATGTAGCGATAGGCGAGTTATTGATTGAGCTCTTTTTGTGCATTGCTGTTTTAATGGGTTTAACGAAGATTCAGCTCTTCATGATAACCTATTTGTGACGCAAAATTCTAGGGGGGGAATAAACTAGTATTCACCAAGTCAGGCTAGGCCTACCCCTAGAACCGGCCACACTCAAATTTCTTCCCCGGAGTGCTCAGAAGGAGCCGAGAAAAATCCAGGGGTCGATACGAAGTTGTCACGGCTTTGACTGATCAATTTATTTAAATTTAATCGAAGGCTCAGAGCTCAGGAAACGTTCAGGAAATCCTGCAGACGCTCAGTTGGAGCTATATATCATCCTTACCTTCGTTAAAGTGTTTTGTTAAATTTTGCCTAACCTTTGGAATGACTCTGTAGGGCCGACGAGTATTCAATCTTAAGCCAATGTGATATAAATACTCGTATTAAACTGTAAACTATCTGGCTAAGGACGTTGGTAAATAATATAATATCGAATAAAAGGTAAAAAGCAATTCCTACAAAGTCGTCGGGCCTAATTAATATAATCGAATGGAGAATTTATCGTGGGATGATTAAAAATAGATTTAATATTAATATTCGTGACTGTTTGATTGTTCAAATCAGCCTACTCCCAAGACTAGGTTCTCTCGCCCGCCAAAGACGGGGTTTAGAACGCAGACGACAAGTCTCGGGGCATTAAAACGGCGAACTAATTAGAATAAACGTACGTTAATCATTCGTAGAAATCGTAATTTTGAAACTAATTGGTTTAAATCAAACCAAACGATAATCACCGCTAGTCACTGGCAAGCAGGAACTGGCGGGTCGAGACTCGAGTTAGCGGAAACTAAGTTATTAAAATTTAGTTATTTAATATCGAATTTTGGAACGAAAATAGTCGTAAAACGAGAGTGAGAATGCGTGCATTAAACAAACGTAAAAATGGTCTAACTATTAGAATAGCTAACTTTCGTAATATCGGCGACCGGCGGGAATGCGTAAGTAGTCTTGTAACGACGAAGTTACTTCGAAGACGGCGTACGAACGAATAATCCTGTCTTTAAAATCCTTCGTTCCTGCCCGCTTGAGGCTTACGCGCTCAAGCGGCGAACTTTAGTACTACTAGATAACAGCTGATCGAATTCACTTGTTGAGCTGGTCTAGTTTCGTCTGTCGTCTGTCAACAAATAAACACCAGTTTGGGGTTATGTCGTCGTCGGCGTTAAATATCTGTAAAATCGGCCGGTTTAACTTTATTATGTGAAACGAAGTGCTATTATGAATAAATATGTAGTTGTGGATGTGTTTGTGTACTTCACTGTGAATAAAAATAGGCCTACGTTCTTTGGCCCATAGCCCAAGCTATGGCCAACACATAGGCCTAGGGGTAGGCTATTGTGGTTAAAAATTGGGTAAGTTCTGGTGTTCATTTATTCGCAGTACGTTTTTACCCCCCTTTAAATTTGGTACCTTACATATTAATTGTTCCTGTGACACTGTTAACATTAGTAATCTGAAACTACGGCCACGTGATGGTTTATGATCACTGATGGGACAGGTAACCAGAACCTTATGCTTAAATCTACATCTAAATGTGATCCATACGATATTACTGCCATCAAGCAGGATATAAGTTAGTATAGTATATCAAAAGCTTTGACTGAATGATGTTTTTGTGCAAAAATGTTTTAGCTTTACAACAAGCGACAACTGTTAAATTAAAGTGATTATCTAAATATATAAAAGGCAAAGCCCTCACTGACTGACTCACTCACTCACTCACTCATCACTAACTCTCCCACTTCCTATTTACCTAGGAGGCTGAAATTCGGTACACAGATTCTTTGGGCATTAAATAGAAAAACTAAGTAGTTTTTATTCTGATCGGGCTTTCGGGCTCCGCCCCAGTGGCTCTGGAGTTTCCCATATTAACTTTATGATTTTTCATATTTAAAAGGAATTTCTTAACAGCTGTTTCAATTAAACAAGTTGGTTCTGTTCTATGATGTTCAATAGCATTAAAGTTACAAGGATTACCAACAGGGTGCAGCACTATTATTTTTTTAAACTTATGACTACAGCCAATTTGCAACCAAAAGGTGAGTGAGCGTAGCGAACGAACTCCAACCAGGACGTGATTGAGCCATGCAAACGAGCTCATTTGTGAAGTTAAACGGGGCAAAGCCCACGGGTACAGCTAGTGAATATATAAAGTAAATCTTTTTGTAAATATTTCCTGTTGGTGTAAACCTTCTGTATTAGTACATCTTACGATGAATTATTCATAGATTAATCTTAACCATATCTTATATATTTGTACTATATGCAAGACGTGTTAATGGTTTTGAAGCTCAAAAACATTGTGATTCGCTTTTTTAAGACCGGTTTATCGATTAAACTTAGGTTTATGAAGAACAAATATACAGTATTTTTAAATTACAAAAATAAAATGTTATGAAATGTGTTGCAATAGACGCATAACAAAATATTATATTATATGTAACTATATGGTTGATGACGACTATATCTGCACTCGGCAACCTTTGACATTCTTATTCAGGAAGGGGATTGGAGGGAAGACATGGAGGGGGCTCAAAGACTTCTGTATAATCTGTAGAACATCTTTATGGACTGATCTACAGAAATGCAAACAAAGGGATTTGACATCAAAGACAGTAGATTTTAATTATAAACTTTTAAATAATGAAGTTATATAAACTTCTCTATTAGAAAACCAATACGATTGTGGATACCTAAATTTATATTAGGTACCGGTATTCGAATTTAAATCACTAACACAAAATTACAACCACATATTTATATAGACAACTCAAAATTTATTAAAATAAAATGTTCACAATTCCATT